GCAATTTATGCGACTTAAGAGGAACTGTACGGATGAAAATACTTTTTTGGAACAATCAGATATCCTTAAAAAACAATTTTATCAAAAGGGATATAAAAAGGAGTATGTAGAAACTCAATTTAAAGATATATGTACTAAACCTAGAAAAGACATGTTGGTATATAAGAGGAAGGAGAATACCGTTCTAGAACAACAAGTCCCTATAGTATGCGACTATAATTCCCAAAGTCATCTGTTTCATAAAATTCAAAAGAAACACTGGCATATCCTGAGACAAAATGAGGATCTCCTGACATACATAGGGGAAAAACCGCGTATAGTATACAGAGGGGCCAATAATCTCAAAAATGTTTTAACTAGTAGTTTTATCCCCAAAAATTCCCAAAAGAACAGAGATATACAGGGGAAAGATTTGAAAGGATTTTATAATTGTGGGAACTGCAAAGCATGTAGTACCAGTAGGAAGCTTAGTAAAAAAACTGAAAAATTTTATTCGAATAAGACAAAGAAAGAATACAATATAAAGGATTTTATCACATGTAATTCAACTAATGTAATTTATTTATTAACCTGTATTTGTGGACTACAATATGTAGGTCGCACGACTAGACCCCTTAAGGTTAGAATCTGTGAACACCTTAGGAATATACAGAATGGGGTCTTTAACCACTCTGTATCTGCACATGTTAACCAAGTTCATGGTGGTGGAATTGATAATTTGCACTTTATGGGGATACAGAGAGTCCAAAAGCCTTGGAGAGGGGGAGACCACTTAAAGATGCTTAATAGAACTGAGATGAAGTGGATTTTTGAGTTGGAAACCCTCTCTCCAAATGGCCTTAACATTGACTTTGAGATGTATAATTACATATAATATACCTAAAAATTGTTATTACATATTTTTTATTATATATATTATCCATGGGTATTCTTATTTATATATTTTTATGTCCCCCTTCCTCTTCTATCACCCTTCCCTCTGTTTCTATTTTTATGTGGGGACTGTGCTGTGGAGTGCCACATTATGAGGACTAATTAGGACAATGATTTGACACAACAGTAAAAGTGAAGAGGAATTTAGGGTAATTCTCCGCTGTGAACCGCATGAAACGAGTGCTGGAACGCATCGGTATCACGGATGGAACGCAAGTGAACCCGGAAGTGCTCGCGGTGGAACGCACTAACGCGGAAGTAGAAGAATATGACAACGGGATCATAGAGGATTGGATTGGGAGACATGAGGAAGGAAGCTGATTGGTTTGTGGACGCGGGGGGCGGGTTCTAAGTACCCGTTTCTCGCGCCCAATTTTGTTTTAAATTGTGGATGAAATGTTATAACAATATTGCACCTGAGGAAGACGTATTATAACGTCGAAACGCGTTGTGCTATTTGCTGGATTTCCAGAATTTCATATGTAAGCTTTTATTATTGATTTTAATAAATTGTATTGCTGCTATTCTTCTAATTGATGTCTATGCACTTTATATTGAGGATCAAGCTGCAGCTTTCGTGATTCCACTTGAGGATACCTTGCTTAAGCTACTATACCTGAGCCAGTTTGTAACAGGCTCTACTATATATAAGACATACCCTTTCTGATAACCATCTCATTGGGGTACTTATTTATTATTATTTATTCACCCAAGGTGGAAGTTTTCACTTATATGTGGTTTTTATTTTTTATGTGCTGCACACTATTCTGTATAGCTGTAACTTGTCTCTTATAGGACCTCTGTGGTTAAGTCCTATTTGTGTGTTCTAGCAGCTTTTTTAGCGCCACAAACTGTACCTTCCTTTTGGATTTTGTTAAACCTGGATTAAGCACACTTATGCACCACGCTAGGACGCTCACTCACCAAGCACTATCACCCAACACAGCTATCTCTCATACAACAGGACACTTACCATTTTTAACAACTTCACTACACAATTCGGTTTACAAGGCGACTTCTCTACACAAATCATGGTGGCTTTTGCCTCTTTCTGCCATTTACATCTTAAACTTTCTCACAACACCATTAAACTTTACCTCACCGGGGTTCAGCACCATAGCCTCACCAATTTTCCTAACACCCTCTTCTTGTCATCATATCCCATTAAGAAGGTCTTGAAAGGTATATTAAAGGTTTCGGTTCCACTCACCAACACAAGACTACCTATAGATGGGCCTATCTTTAGATCACTTAGCAATCTCCTTGACGAATCCTTGTTCGATCCCAACACAAACCTGGTGATTAAATCCGCTATTTATCTTGCTTTCTACGGTTTTCTCCCAGAGAGTTCACCGTTGTTTGTCAAGGAGATATCACGCTCAGCCTAAAAACATCACACCTCACTAAGGTGGAAGATCACTACCTACTTACGATCCCATCAACTAAAACTAATCACTCACAACACCCCACCATAATTCCTTTCTTCCCTACCGATAATGCCTGGTGTCCGGTCAAGGCGCTAGATCACCTACGGTCAACCCATCAGACGCACTTACCAGACTCTCCCCTCTTATCATTACAAGGGCACCCACTCACAACGGCTAAATTCACGGCACACGTCAGAACACTACTATCCAAACTGGGTTACAATCTGGCTTCATTTTCCGGACACACATTCCGCATAGGAGCCGCTTCATCAGCCTCTAGCACAAACACCCCGGTCCACATCATAAAGAAACTGGGTCGTTCGAAATCCTCCATATATCATACATATATACCACGACCACAAAAAGAGCTTTGTCAAGCTTTCAGGAACTTGGTTATGTAAAAAAGGCAATAAAGTGTGTATTTTCTCGAACTTCTCTTTTGCCCTCTTTTATTTACAGGCCCACTCGTACATTGGTTACGGCACACCACAACCAACTTTGCCCTTTCAGATACTATCCATTACGTATTAAATTCCGAGCACAAGTAGAAAGGCCATTAGGCCTGAATTTGTGGGAGGAGTAAGTCCCCTACTTAAACTCCCAGCCCCTACTCACCTCTGCCGGTTCAGTTGATTGTCCCCACCCACCTACACCCTGTTATCATTACATTCTCCTTGGTGGGCCCTCTTTTTTATTTACAGGCCCATTTGTACGTTGGTTTCGGCACACCACAACCAACTTTGCCCTTTCAGATACTATCCATTACGTATTAAATTCTGAGCACAAATATATATATATATATATATATATATATATATATATATATTTTGATGTAAATAACAGTCAGCATAATTCTCGTGTTATCAACTATTAAGAGTACAATTCAAATTTTATTGAACAAACCTCCTAATGATAACAGCATTTTTTTTTAAAACATGAACTTACAATGCACTGTTCCAAATTATTACACACAGTAAGTTTCAAAACACTTTATAGGTTGTAAAGAACTGAAAATTGTCATTTGTTGTGTTTGCAGCATATTTACTGAAATCAAAATCTATTTCAATCAAACGTATAACAACATTTTAACTTTTTAAACATTTTAACAGGTCACGTTACATATTTGACAGCAGCTTCACAAGTCTTGCATCCATTGAATTTGTGAGTTTTTGGACAGTTTCTGCTTGAATTTGTTTGCAATATGTCAGAATAGCCTCCCAGAGCTGCAGTTTGGATGTAAACTGCCTCCCACCCTCATAGCTCTTTTGCTTGAGGATGCTCCAAAGGTTCTCAATAGGATTGAGGTCAGGGGAGGATGGAGGCCACACCATGACTTTCTCCCCTTTTATCCCCATAGCAGCCATTGATGCAGAGGTATTCTTTGCAGCATGAAATGGTGCATTGTCATGCATAAAGATGATTTTATTACGGAAAGCATAGTTCTTCCTTCTGTACCAGGGAAGAAAGTGGTCAGTCAGAAACTCCACATACTTTGCAGAGGTCATCTTTACATCTTCGGCGACCCTAAAGGGGCCGACCAGCTCTCTTCCCATGATTCTGGCCCAAAACATGACTCCACCACCGCCTTGCTGACATTGTAGCCTTGTTGGAACAGGGTGGCCGTCCACCAACCATCCACTACTCCATCCATCTGGACCATCCAGGGTAGCACGGCACTCATCAGTGAACAGGACTGTTTGAAAATTAGTCTTCATGTATTTTTCTGCCCAATGCAGCCGTTTCTGCTTGTGAGCATTGGTTAGTGGTGGTCGAATAGAAGGTTTATGTACAGTTGCAAGACTCTGGAGGACTCTACACCTTCATGTCCGTGGGACTTCAGAGGCACCAGCAGCTTCAAATATCTGTTTGCTGCTATATAATGGTATTTTAGCAGCTGCTCTCTTGATCCGATGCATGGATCTGGCAGAAATCTTCCTCAATGTGCCTTTATCTGCACAAACCCATCTGTGCTCTGAATCAGCCACAAATCTCTTAATAGTGTGATGATCACGCTTAAGTTTTCGTGAAATATCTAAAGTTTTCATACCTCATCCAAGGCATTCAACTATTTCACTCTTTTTGGCAGCAGAGAGATCCTTTTTCTTCCCCATATTGCATGAAAATGGTGCACTGCTTAATAATGTGGAACACCTTGCTTTAGTAGTTTTTCCTTAAATTGGGCTCATCTGGCAATCTAATTATCACAGGTCTAAGAGATGGTTTTCAGTGATCAAAAGAGCCCTGAGACACAATGCCATCCATGAGTTGAACTGGAAAACAAAATATTTAATCTTTGTGACACTTAAATAGAATTTGCATAATAATTTAGAACAGGGTTTAGGGAATAAGATCCATGAACTTGTGGCAATAATGGCAACTGATAATGTAGATTTAGTCGCTGTTACTGAGACATGGTATAATGAGAAAAATGACTGGGACATAGCAATACTCTGACACACTCTTTATATAGAAAAGACAGAGAAGGCAAGAAAGGGGAGGGGTGGCCCTGTATGTGAAGGATAGCATAAAATCTATCCTAATAAAAGATAGTGAGGCGAACATAGAGTCCATTTGGGTTAAGTTTGAATTTGGTAATCACACAGTAACTCGTGTAGGTGTGATTTATAGATCCCCCAGGACAAATAGAATAGTTAGATAATCTACTAGTTGAAGAAATAGCTCAAATGACAATGGAGGGCGAAGTTTTCATCATGTGTGACTTATCTTCCAGATGTAAACTACAAAACCAAAATAGCTGCTTTTGCCAGGAGCACACATATTCCAAACTCCCTACTGGAACTATCTCTTAAACAAGTCGTTGAGGATCCAGCTCGTAGGATGCCATACCAGATTTAGTGTTCACAAATGGAGATTTGGTATCAGATATTCCTGTAGGTGAAAGTTTAGGATCCAGTGATCACTAGTAAGTGTGGTTTAGGACTGAGTCACACCACATCCCAAAAAAATTGACTTTAGAAAAACAGACTGTTCTAAAATTAAAATATGTGTAAAGGAGTCATTATCAGATTGGAGCAGTGTAAAAGGAGCCCAAGATAAATGAGATTATTTAAAAGTTGCACTACTGAAGGCAACAGAAAGTTGCATTAGGCTTGTCAGGAAGAGCAAAAAATTCAAGAAACCACAGAAGTGGCCAAAATAGTAAAACACAAAAGTTAGCATTTAGTAATTTTAAAAAAGAGTGAGGAAGATAGACCGATCAATAGGATTAGGCAGAAAATGCTAAGCAAGGAATACGAGCTTCCAAATCACACACACAAGAGAAAATAGCATATCCAGTAAAAAAGGGAGACAAAACATTTTTTTAGATAGATAAATGAGAAAAGGAAAGTAAAACAAGGGTTAGATTAAAAACAAAAGAAGGAAGGTATGTAGAAGAGGGTTTAGCTGACTGCCTCAATTAATATGTTTGTTCAGTATTTACAGATGAAAATTAAGGAAAGGCACATCAGTAAAGAAATGGGAAAAAATGTAATTTATTACATGTGAGTTTACAGAAGAATAAAAATATATTTATACTGGCAGACATTTTGTGTTAAAGGACAACTATAGTGCCAGGAAAACATACTCGTTCTCCTGGCACTATAGTGCCCTGAGGGTGCCCCACCCTCAGGGTCCCCCTTCCACCGGGCTCTAGGGTGAGGAAGGGGTTAAACTTACCTCTTTCTCCAGCGCTGGGCGGGGAGCTCTCCTCCTCTCTGCCTCCTATCCTCCTCCTCGGTTGAATGCGCATGTGCGGCAAGGGCCGAGCGCGCATTCAGCCAGTCTCATAGGAAAGCATTCACAATGCTTTCCTATGGACGCTGGCGTCTTCTCACAGTGAGAAGCACGCAAGCGCCTCTAGCGGCTGTCAATGAGAAAGCCACTAGACGCTGGATTAACCCTAATATAAACATAGCAGTTTCTCTGAAACTGCTATGTTTATAGAAAAAAGGGTTAATCCTAGCTGGACCTGGCACCCAGACCACTTCATTAAGCTGAAGTGGTCTGGGTGCCTATAGTGGTCCTTTAACACAGAAATTAAAAGTTTATACTGTAAGTCACCATCAGAACAGAGGTGACTCCATTTTGTAACAGAATGCAAAGACAGACATTTTACTTCTCTGTAATTCTATTCATTCAGGTCTGAGCTAAGGAATGCGACTTACATAAACATTAGAGATAAAACCTGAGATAAGGCATGATGTCTAACAGCAAAAGAAGAGAGGGAGGGAGAGAGAAGGAGGGAGAAGGAGGGAGAAGGAGGGAGAGAGAGGGAGGGAGAGGGAGGGAGAGGGAGGGAAAGGGAGGGAGAGAGAGGTAGGGAAAGAGAGGGAGAGGGAGGGAGAGGGAGGGAGAGAGGGAAAAAAAAAAAAAAGCTGTAGATAATCCTTGCACTCATGCTTTGGTAGAAAGTATGCCGGGTGCTAGAAGTCCAGGGGAAAATTGTAGATATTATGTCTAACAGGCAGACACCTTGCACTTTACACAAGATGAAGCAAAAGTCATTCTATGGGAACAAACTGGACTGGATCTTCCACATAATTTGTCTTCTAAGGACATTTATTTTCAATTACTTTGCTTGCATCAAAAACAGATTTGGAGCTGCATTGCATATTTTTATCTGACTACTATAAGGCCAAAAGGATTCCCAAGGGATTCAGGATAATGAATATGCCTACAATTGGCCAGGGCAAGGCCAAAGTTTGTAAGGATTGGACAACCGTCCTTAACAAGGCATAGTTGGATTTAATCCTTATAATTATCCAAGATGTCAGATCTGATTTGACTGACATAAAACATAAAAATTGTGGTCATAGAGACAGAAAATGCAGTCCTACTGGCCTCCCAGGAAGGGGTTAAATTGATGCTTAAGTTAAAAGAAGAATTACTCTCTTATAAGAATGAATTGATCAAATTCAAAAAGCTTAAATTTGAACGTGTACGCCAGGACTACCAGGATCACCGGGTATACAAATGGCTCACAGGGGACAGAATGTGCAGACCACCTAGACAGCGCAAACGCATAGTCCGCCCCAGAGTTTCAACTGTAGATGTCACATCGGGTGAATCTGCCTCAGATAGTGAAGCACTAAGGGATCCGGCAATTTTTTTAGGGAATTGGGAATTACCACGAGGAGCCAAGGAAGAGGCGCAGAGGGAGGAGAACAAAACGTGGACTGAAGGGCAAAGGCAACCTCACGAGGAAAACCTCCAATGAGGAAATAACTCCTATTTTCAACTTATCACATAGAACGTTAAATGAACAAGAAACATAAGTGTTGAAACATGGCCTTGCGTTTGTACCCACTGTTGCCCCTTACCAATTTAAATGTAATGTAGAACTTTTCAAGTTTGGAAGAAATATGCGTCTTAAAGATTACTATCATAGACCAGAAGATAAGGAGTCTGTGAATACCCATACTAGTTGTGATACACAGGATCACTATACATCTCAATTTAGATCTAAATCTAACTTTGATCCACAGACCCACAAAGCCTCAATTAAAACCTACCTCTCTACTGTGGAACGCCTTACTCAAGAAACCATTCGAAACCATAAGGTCACTAGGAGAAATATCACCTTACCACGGATGGAGTGTATTGAAAAATTGGCGGAAGACCCTACAATCGTTATTAGATATGCCGAAAAAAGGAGGAGGTATAGTGGTCATGGACTACTCTTACTATGCGGGAGATATAAGACGACAATTACATGAAAATGTCTACCAACTCTTGGTTGGAGATCCCAACAACAAAATTGCGACAATGATAGAGAATACCTTATTAATGAGACTTGAAGCAGGCTATATAGATCTACAGATTTACAGTTTTTTCCTGAAAAGAAAACCCCAGACTCTAATCATATACAGCATAACAAAGGTACACAAAGATCCCATCAGGCCACCAGGAAGACCCATAGTGTCTGCGATTGGAGGAATCTTAGAACCAATTGCCAAATGGCTGGATTATCTTTTTCAAGCACCTATAGCTGAAATACAAACCTGCATCAAAGATACACCAACACTCATAACCAAAATGAACTCACTGGACCTTGGTGGAGACCCTGTAATCCTGATTATGATGGATGTGACGAATCTCTACACAGTAATCCCACATGAGCAAGGAATAGATGCCATGAGACAAACTCTTTGTTCTGCCACTACATATAGTGGACCACCAATTGAATATGTGCTGGAATTGTTGTCATTAACGTTGAAAAACAACTACTTCAGGTTTGAAGAGGACTGGTTCTTACAGGTTGCAGGTACATCAATGGGGGCGGCTATGGCCCCTATGTATGCTAACTCCTACATGTACATCTATGAGAAAAATTAAATCTTTTCTAAATTTAAACATCTTATAATGGCTTACTTTCGTTACATCGACGATTTGTTAATTTTTTGAAAAGGCACTGAATTTGAAGCAAAGGAAATGGTTCGATCTCTAAATGTACTGGATACGCCAATCAGATTTACATCTAACATCTGTGCATTCACCATTCAATATTTGGATTTGGAAATATCTATCAAAGAACACAGTATCACACTCTGTTTATACAAAAAAGATACAGAACGCAATACGTTGTTGCACAATAATAGTGCACATCCAAGAATGTTGAAGAAATCACTACCCAAAGCACAATTTTTTTAGGGTAGCACGCAACAACTCGGATGAACAGAAAATGGATGAACAGATAGAAGAGATGACGAAAAAAATTTCTTGAAAGGGACTATAGACGTCAGTAGTTGCTAAAGGCGCAACAGGAAGCAAAAAATGCCAGCACCAACATGGAGGCTATTAAGCTACCAGCAATAGTATTTCTGATGGCCTATAATGATGCCTCTACCAAAATTGCCCAAATTGTCAAACAGAATTTAAAGAAAACCCCTTGATTTGCTTTAAAAGGAACAGAACACTAAAGCATATCCTGGTACACACACATCTGGTTAACAGTTATAGACAAAATTCAGCAATCATATATCATGGCAGTATCCGGTGCTTAGGGTGTGTTACATGTAGCCACATGACCCCATTGTGAACCTTTCAACACCCGCACACAAATAAAATGTACAGAATACAACATACGGTCACGTGCAAAACTCCATTTGTGGTGTACAAATTAGAATGCCTGTGTGGGCTATCATATATCGGTAAAACTGAAACCCCCCTATGTGAGAGGATATGTGGACACAGATCAGCTATACGGGTGGCATACCATGATGGACATTCAGAACAACCTGTGGCACAACATTTCTTAAATTTGAAACACCCACTTTAATCTCTCAAATTTATTGCCATTGACCACATCCCTCTACCTAGGCGTGGTGGAGACCGTGGCAAACTCCTTCTTAATAGAGAGACTCATTGGATCTTCCAGTTGAACATAATTGCTCCCAAAGTACTTAATGAGATGATCTATTATCACTCATTTATTTAATAGAAGGACCCCTCAGCAATTAGAACAGTGGTTTTAATGTCTATTAGTTTTTTTAAGATATTAACCTTTGGTACATTAATTGATTAGCAATACTGGCTTTACTAAAAAAATAGATATTTGTTGTAGATATGGTGCTGATTATAATATGCATGTTTTTACAATAATCACGTTTGAATTGTAGCACAGGTTTCACTTTAATATTTAGCTCTAGCACTTTCAATTTACATAATAGCACTTTAATATTATTGCAATAGCATTTTATAATACAGAAGTATCACTTTAAAATGTAAAGCACTTTTACAAATAGTAGCACTTTAATTAATTAGCATGTATACACTTTAGAGTCTTAAAATATATAAGCATCACTTTATTACCTTACAGAGCACTTTAATGATAAGGCTAGCACTTTGAATGAAGTATACTTCATTCACTTTAACATATGTGATATAGAGATATCACATATAATTATAATATATTCACTACAATGTATTCACCATTTACTGTACCGCAGAATAATATTATTCAGTGTCTATATAGACATTTTGGCAAGAATCAGAGTTATCAAATATGTACTAATGTTTTTTAATTTCTAGCTGTGTTTTTCACTTATGGATTTTAATTCAAGCACTTCTAATCTCTATGGGCATAGATGCACTGTAACTCTAATCACTTTTTTGCTACGATTAACTATGCACAATCTCTTTGTATACACAGGTTGCTATAACAACCTGCTACACGCTTCTCCTTCCTGCATGCTATTTCCTGTCTCTGTAACAAGAGCTCGGGATGCCCTGTGGCCACGGCAATGCAGGACATCATTACGGTGGCGGGGCTTAGTGCACGCATGCGCATAGAACATTAGGGAACGCCAGAGACACCACTCCCACCACTCCTAGCACCGGGGGTAAGTCATTTCACACTAATTTCACTTTATGTTTTATCCTATATAATGCATTGTTTTACCATGTTATTCATGTCTGATCCTGATGAAAGTCCCAGATGGGACTGAAACGTTGATCGTATTTTTTTAATGGATAGTCAAACTTTAATTTTAACTTTCAAAGACCGGGAGTGCTGATCACTATCTGCAATATCTATATGTAGATTTATATATCACCCACCATCACCCCCTCATAAATTCACATACACTCAGACAAGACACGACCCGCCCCTACATATAGACATACATCCAAAGGACTACTAAAGGCGAGGCAACGAACAGGCATGACCACAACATATACAAGAGAACACACACCACACACAAGCAGCCTTGCGCTGAGCACACACAGAAAACACATCCGACCGGAGGGCACGCTTCCACAGACACAACAAAAACGCTGCGACTACAAACCGCACCACCTGAAACATGGCCCAATACAAACGTACAGACGGGCACAACATAAAGCCGACAGCCACTGCAGCCAGGCAGGAAACGAAAGGAGTTGCGAAACCACACAATCCACGCACCACACACACCCACAGTCCAAACACCGACCTGCACGATAAATCCCAGACCCCACAGAACAACACTACAGCCATTTACACAAGTGAATCCGCCTAAACATGACCACGACCACATGGAAGGTACACACAGAAAACAATTTCGAAACACCAGAAAATGAGCCGCAAAGATGCAACACTAGAGGCAGGCATACAGAGCTCCGGAGTGAAGTAACACAACACAGGTAAAACCATAGACACATACAATAGAGGACACACAGACCTAACGCAAACGGCTCTAGCACATCTAGCAGAGGGATCAGCTAAGAAACGTACATAGCTACTACAACCCAGCCCCCCCCCAAAAAAAGAGGGGCAAAAATGCACTAGCAAATAGTTACACAACTGCTTACCCACAGCTCTAACCAAAACGAATGGGTACCACAGATTATGAGAGTATAAAGTACCCAGCTATGAACCAAAAGGCTATGACAAATTTGCCTCTGCGAAGGCAACCAAATGTGCATACTGTGTAAACCATGCTTCAGCTCCTGGGAGGGCGACAACTGGCAATATTACAAATCAGTCTGATACACTAAACCAATGACTAAGCCCCTGCGTGGGCAATCACGTGCTTAAATACAGATCAGTTAGATACATGCATTTATGTTATGAAACCAATAAAAATATTCAAAATAAAATATTCACTGCTATTGACTGTGCGCAAGGATATTGGACTGTACCAGTCCATGATGAAGACCAATACAAATTAGCCTTCGCATTTGGAAAACAGTAGTATACCTGGACCAGTATGCCTTTCAGTTACATAAACTCTGGTCATGAATTCACTGTTTTCATACATAAAGCTATGCCTGACGCTATCATATGTCGATGTTTTGCTGAAAAGCACTTACTTTGATAAGCATATCATAGAGATTAGACATGTTCTCACTAAATTGAGAGAGGCAGGGATTAAACGGTCTTTACAAAAGGGACAATGGTGTTGCACCCATGTAAATTTCCTCGGACATGAGGTAACGTCTGAAGGATTAAATCCACAGAAGAAGAAGGTTGAAGCCGTACTAAAGGCATAATCACCTACTATTATCAGGGAATTAAGATCATTCCTTAGTATGACTAACTACTCCCGTAAGTTTATAGATAACTATGCAGAAATAACGAAAACACTTTTAAAAAAGAAACTACCTGAAACTGGGGGGAGCCTCAGGACCAAGCGGTAAGTGAACTGAGGAGGAAGCTCACTCAGGCACCCTATTGAGCATACCCAGAGGAGGGTAAACCTTTCTATCTGGAGACAGTTTATACCGATTTAAGCATAAGTGCTGTTCTGTATCAGAAGCAGGACAGTCTCAATAAAGTTATTAAATATGCTAGCAAGACTTTGTCACCTGTTGAAGTTAAATTCAACACGTGTGAGAAGGTGTTATTGTCGACTGTTTGGCACTACAAATTTTCCGTAGCTATATTCAAGGTGAGAAAATTATTGGAGAAACTGCTCACCAACCTCTACAGTATCTACAGAGTGAAATAATCAGAGACGGTTGTGACAAAGTGCCCTTCGCCACTTGGTCCTGGAGAGGCCTGCTTGCCTGCCTCCTCCCCTGTGACTATGGCCCTGGGATGTATGGCCCTTTTAAGGAGTGCTATTTGGGCATAATGGACTTTTATCGTACTGTGCTGGCCCTTTAAAAACAGTGTATGGACATACTGAAACTTTTTGGACACTTTTTCTTCCCATTTGAATCCCTGGGAAGGTGTGGCTCTTCCCCTCCCCCTGCTCCATTGTACCCCAGCAGGGCGTTGTCCCAGGCACACTGCCAGACTAGTTGGAACTGGGGTTGGGCAGGAAAATGTGCTTGCGGTCGGTCCAAAAATACTTTTTTACTATCTCTGGAACCCCTGGATGGATTTCCACGCATTTTGGATATGTGTGTCCCCAAGTTATACTGGTTAAAATAATATAAGTTTTATGTATGTACAATGTAAACTCACAAAGTTATAAAAATGTATAAAAAGTGTAACTTTTCAGCTTGGAAATAATTGAGTAGATACAGTAATTTACTCAATTATCTTCTAAGCAGAGGGGAGGAATATGTGTGTTTCTATTGTCCCATTGTGTCTGATTGGCTTCTGTATTTGCATTGTATGTGTTGTAATGTGTTTATTGGTTGTTCTGAAAAACCCTGTGGGTGGTACTATGTGCGGAAAACCTGCATAAAAGAAAGCCCTTTGGTGCCAATTAAGGAGATCCTGTTTGACCCTCAATACGTAGCCTTGTCTCGTTATTGGAGGGAGCTGCTATAATCACACTGGGGATTGCTATGCTCTGCATACTCCCCTGAGCTTGAATCACTTAGCTCTTTTAATCACTTAGCTTCCCCACACAGTCCTGGATGCTGGAGGTTCATACAGGGTGGAAGGAAGAGATCTTTCCCACACGGTCCTGGAGGACAGAAGCTGATCCAGGGTGGGTAGAAAGACGGCGAGACTCCAGTCAAGCTACGGTGGCTGCGGAGTATGCAGTGGTTGTGGTGTCCGGTGCGGTGCTTGTGGTCCTCTGCGCAAGCTAGGAAGCGTCCATCAATGGAGGGTAATCGGTCGGAGTACGGGGAGCTCCATTACAACGGTAATCTCTCTAACAGTCGGATTACTGCATTACTTATAAACACATTAAGAGACACCTAGTTGCCCAAGGTTTAGCAGAATTACATGACTGTACTGCTCCATCTCTCGAGGATAATGACACCGGATATGACTTCCTAGAAGAGAAATTGCTATCCCCTTAACAAGTTTATGACGAGGAATACTGTCGACTACTACCGTGGGTGTACATTGATGATTGTTCATATCACCATGATGTTGGTAATGAACGGAAGTTAGTTGCAGGCATCGGAATTGCCTTGATATGAAATAATCCCAATGTACCTATACGATACAATATTGGTCCCAAAAGTAGTCAAATAGGCGAACTCTGTGCAGTATCTAAGACCATACAAATGGCAATAGAATATGGCATCAAAGAATTTATCATAACCGATTACAACTATGTTCGTAACCGTTTCATTGAATATCTGCCTAGCTGTAAACGTAATGGAATGCTGAAGTAATGGCTAAGATGTGGAAAATCCTAGGTGTTAAACGAAAGCTACATATTGCATACCGTGCTGCGTCTAGCAGGGGGGTAGAGCAACATAACCAGTCTACCATTAATATTCTGAAGAAGTATGTTAAGGAATCTGGTAAAGACTAGGACATTAAATTGCCCTTAGTTTTAATGGCGATTAGAGCTACACCTAGCACAGCTACCAAATTGTCACCTTTTGAACTGATGACAGAAAGAAAGATGGTTTTACCACAGCATTTACTATATTGTACTTTGGATCATAACTTGATCAGTGCTGCCACTACACATCAATACAATAGGGGTTAAGACCTATTACGATTTAAAAACCATGAAAAAGAAATATGAGATCAAGTATATCTATATAACTTTGTGTGAAATCAAGTTAAGGAAAATACATTTTTACCTTCTTGGAAAGGGCCATTCCCCAGTAGCGTGTAAGATAAAAATTTCTAAGGATGGTGATTTTATTGAAAAGTGGGTTCACATTAACCAGTTGGGTGCTTGTCATCCTAAATCTCAATTAAGGATTATAGGTGTGGATTCAGATACAGAAGGATGAATGACTAACCTGGATGAATGCTTGATTCACGTGGTATCGTATGATGTGAAATGTTGTGATGTGCCATGATCTCATGTATGTTCATGTCATTATATATAAAACACAATAAAAGAAAAGTAAAATATTGAATGCTCAAAATCACCAAATGTGAGTCACTCCAAATCACACAAACAATAAATAACAAAGTAAAATAAAATATGGTGAGAGCAATATACACCAAATGTGAACAAGATAAGAACATGCAATGTTACCATTTATCTTGAATTTTCACATAAATGTCCTAAAAGTATAAAATACATAACATAGTATAGCCTGTATGTAAAGGACAAATTAAATAAGATATAAAATAGCCCACTAATGTGGTGCTGAGCCTGAAAGAGTGGCTCAGACTACAAGCGCCTTTTAAGATATCCTGGAGACCCAAATGCTAACCAGCAGGTTAAGATAGTTCCTTCCGAAGTTTCTCTTTGATAAATGCCAGGTAGAGAAATACTGGAACAAATAAACCTTTATTTCACTTAAAATTATATAAAAAAGCATATAAGCATATAATGGAATCTCCAAATATATTGCACTAACGCGTTTCAACCGATAATGGTCTTTATCAAAGTGCTACATGTCTTCACAAATTATTCATTTATATATCTTTAAAAAAAGGCGCGCTCAGCTTTCCCGGCGGTTCACTTCCGGTTTCCGGTCGTGGTCCCCGATCAGCTGACTTTCGGTTTCCGGTTTGTGTCATACGTCCAAAGGACGCTTCCGGGTCAGCGGTCATGTTGTTTTGTAGTCCTATGGACATTTCCGGGTCAGAGGCCATGTTGTTTTGTAGTCCTATAGGCTTCCGGGTTCCGGCGAAAAAGTCCTCCCTCAATGTTCTTTAGTACCCATTTCCACTTTTAAAGAGTCTTTAATGCACATATCCATTCTAAAAGGTTTTTACCACACATGTCCGTTGGATACTCTTAAAATAAGCATGAAAAACATCTATTCTATAAATAACATATTCTAAACATTAAAATATAGTGAATTTCAATATTATACTTTTTTTTTGGTATGAAGACCAATTTTATCTGCAGATCCAAGGAACAGCTATGGGGACCAGGTTTGCTCCCAGTTATGCAAATTTATTTATGTCATATTGGGAGGAAATGTTTGTCCTCCCTGCTGCAGACTTGGGAGCAAACCTGATCCTCTATAAGCGTTATATAGACGATATTTTTATTATTTGGAAAGGAGATGAAGATTCTTTGACTAAATTTTTTGATTTTTTAAATTCCAATGATTAGAATATCAAACTTGTCTCCAATATTAGTAATCAGAGCATCACCTTTTTAGATTTGGATATGTTTATTGAATCAGACCAAATTAAGAGTAAAACTCATTTTAAGAAGGTTGATGTTAACAGTTTTATAGATTTACGCAGCTGTCACTTTAAACCTTGGTTGGAAAATGTACCAAAGGGTCAGTTTCTCAGATTAAGGAGGAACTGTACGGACCTTAAAGATTACCAGAATCAATCTTGTAATTTAATACAACAATTTATAGATAAGGGATATGATCCTATCTCTATTAAAAATGCTAGAGACAAAATAGGTAATAAAGATAGGAGTCAACTCTTAAAATATAAGAATAAGGAGGAAAAAGAAAAAAGATGACTTTATCCCTTTGATTTTGAATTTCAGTACTAATAATAGATCAGTACATAATATTTTTATTTTTTTTAAATTGGCATGTGCTAAAGGAAGATAAAGACCTTTTACCTTATTTGGCGGATAGACCTCAATTTATTTTTAGAGGAGCTAGGAATTTTAGACAGATTTTAACAAAAAGTTTTTTAGATAAAGAGAAGCAGGGTAAAAACAATTTTTTAGATGGACAAGTAGGTTTTTATTATTGTGGAGATTGCACTGGGTGTAGATTAAAAAGGAATACAAATAAAAGTATAAAAACCTTTTCTTCGAGTAGAACTTCAGGAGAAGAGTATAAAATACATTCGCTCATTACGTGCAATACAACTAATGTTATATACCTTTTAACCTGTCCATGTGGTTACCAATATATTGGCAAAACGATTAGAAAATTAAAAGTTAGAGTGGGGGAACACATTAATAATATAAAGAAAAAATTTGTTAATCATAGTGTTTCGAAACATTTTCTAGAACACCATAATGGTAACCCAGAAGGTCTTAAATTTATTGGTATCGAGAAGATTAAGGTACATTGGAGAGGGGGTTGCAAAGAAAATATTTTAAGTAGAGCAGAAATGAGGTGGATGTTCAACTTAAATACTTTAACCCCTGAAGGATTAAATGTAGATTTTGAAATTGCCTCTTTTTTTATAAATATTTTATCATAATTTTATATTATATTTATAATGAATTATTTTATATTGCCTCTTTTTTATAAATATTTTATCATAATTTTATATTATATTTATGATGAACTGTTATTATAAATTTTAAATGATATTTATTATACATTTTAATGAATTTATTTTTCTCTTTTTCTCTTTCCTATACTATATATTTTATTCTCCTGGAGTATAATATTGAAATTCACTATATTTTAATGTTTAGAAGAATATGTTATTTATAGAATAGATGTTTTTCATGCTTATTTTAAGAGTATCCAAAGGACATGTGTGGTAAAAACCTTTTAGAATGGATATGTGCATTAAAGACTCTTTAAAAGTGGAAATGGGTACTAAAGAACATTGAGGGAGGACTTTTTCGCCGGAACAGGAAGCCTAGGACTACAAAACAACATGACAGCTGACCCGGAAGCGTCCTTTGGACGTATGACGCAAACTGGAAGTCAGCTGATCCGGGGACCATGACCGGAAACGGAAGTGAACCGGCGGGAAAGCTGAGCACGCCTTTTTTAAAGATTTAGAATGAATAATTTGTGAAGACGTAGCACTTTGATAAAGACCATTATCGGTCGAAACGTGTTAGTGCAATATATTTGGAGATTCCATTATATGCTTATATGCTTTTTTATATAATTTTAAGTGAAATAAAGGTTTATTTGTTCCAGTATTTCTCTACCTGGCATTTATCAAAGAGAAACTTCAGAAGGAACTATCTTAACCTGCTGGTTAGCATTTGGGTCTCCAGGATATCTTAAAAGGCTTGTAGTCTGAGCCACTCTTTCAGGCTCAGCACCACGTGAGTGGGCTATTTTATATCTTATTTAATTTGTCCTTTACATACAGGCTATACTATGTTATGTATTTTATACTTTTAGGACATTTATGTGAAAATTCAAGATAAATGGTAACATTGCATGTTCTTATCTTGTTCACATTTGGTGTATATTGCTCTCACCATATTTTATTTTACTATGTTCATGTCATTAACCATTTCCTTATACCTATATATATTTCGGCACCAACTGGCTGCCTTTATGAAGGGTACCTGTGATAAAGGCAGCCAGTTGGTGCCGAAACGTTGGGGGGTTTCTGTCTTGTGGCTTGTAAGAATCTTTTTGGTAATTTACCATTACATTATTGTATTTGCTCTTGCTTCTGTCATTGTGTTTATATATTTTTTTTGTATGTTTTTACTTTTGTACTTTTTGTACATAATAAAGCTAGTTTTTTTTCAGATTGTTATAGTGTGCATTCTATATTATATAGATATTTGGATATTTGAAACATTTGAGGGAGTGTTTATATGGTTTGAACCTAGCTATTTAATACAATTGTGTCTCTCCATTGGTTGTTGGTTTGTGATTAACTATTTCCTTGCCATCCAATAACTACATTTTCTAAGCAGGTTATTAGCTTGTTTAGCTACTACAGGCAAATTACTGAGGGTTCAGTGTAACGTCACCCCCAGGCATAAAAGGGGTTAAAAGCCGTTTAGGAGATCTTCACCTTCCAGAGACACAGGCAGCTACTGTAGACACCAATCCACCAAACACGAATGCTCTCAAGCATATGAATGCTGTAAACAGCTGAATAGGAAAAACCATACAAATAGGTTTACACTCCTAGCAGTCAAACTGGAACAGCATACAATAAATACCCCCCCAAGAACGGGACAAGGCTCCGTTTTGAGGGTCAAGCAGAGCTGTGGGTTTATTGTTCTTATATACACATTAGTACCACCCACAAGGTTTTGGAAAACAACCTATAAACACGTACAATACACTTAGACACTCCCACACAAAATCCTCCCCTCTGCCTGTGATACAATTATCTTACACAATGGGTAATGCAATTATCACAGACAGAGAAATACAGTTTTTCCACATTATTCACAACTTTAAAAGTATGCATCTCATTCACATAAAACGTATCAGAATCAGCATACTCCAAATACAAACATATGTCAAAATCATACAAATTGGTCCAGTGGTTCAAAAGATAGATCGTAGTCCTTTGTGACCAAATGAAGCATGGCTTTTCTGCCCAAAACCAGTTCCACAGAGTCTTCTATCCTGGAGATAATTGGGAAGTAATCCAATTATCTCCAAGGACAGAGGCAAAACTCAATTGAACACATGGCAGCAAAAGACCATAAAATACATAAAATTATATAACTGTGCAGCCATTGCATAAAACAGGTACATTCAACATATCCCCAGGTAGCTCAGATCTGAGCGCATATTATTACTGAATGGCGCTCAGATCACACACATACAGTTCAATTGCCATGGAGCCAAAGTCTTTCATTATACGAATGGGCTCCATGGCATAGCTATTTGGGGTATCACCACTCAAACAGGGCAAGCACCGAATGACCCGGCTTTCGTGTCTTTGCAGGGGAAAATCAAGCGTTTCAAAATGGGGCCATAGTCCAGAGGCAACAGGCAGGGAACAAGGCTTCTCCAATGCAATGTGGCGAGATTGGTCTCGTCACAGTCTGTAATAAAATTAGTGAGAGATGATTTATACAAATATAAATAGACAGAATACATAACGTTGATGAATCATAAATAATGTGTTGTCCTAAGCCAAGTGATGTCACACTATTATAAGTTTGTATGCTTAACCACCCTTTAATCATTAGTAGATAAGTCTGAGACGAGTTCCTGATCCGTGACTGTTCGAAAGATGTCCAAGAAGCATGTGACATGTTTCTGGATTGTACTGCTCCTGTGCCAAGAGTTACGGACTGATCCGATGGCAGAGATGGGGACATCCTCTGGCATCCTGATTCAGGAGACACCAGGGTTCATCTTGACCTAGAAGAGGATACTGACCCAATGTGTGTTCGTCAGCTTGGACCCCAAGATTTCCACCGAGAAGGCGTACAACATTTCATTGATGCAGCTTCCTGAGTTACAAACCTGGTACCCGATATACCTCCAAAGAGCACAGGACCGTGTGCGAAACATCTTGGAGCAAGCCCAGAAACCTTTTGTATCCAGTACTATTTTGATGAGCAACCGACCAAAAAGGTTCCTCACCACTATAATTGTTGCATTGGTTTGTGCAACTGTTGGTGCAGTTGTAGCAACTGGAATGTCTGCAGCCAACTCTATTTCAGTCCAAAAACTGGACATGGAAATCTTTGAGCTAAAGCAGCACATTAACGATATTCATCAGGTGTTAAAACAGGAAAGAAAACTTCTCCAGGACGTGTTGACGACTGTGAAAGACACAGTTGTTACAACAAATTAGCATTCTGAGTTAATTGCCAAGTCCACTGAATTGCACCAAAGTCACAACTTATTTGAGCGTGAACTTCTATTTCTGCATGACCCAATATTGTTCCACACACTTGCTTTTTTGACGAAGTGCAAACCGGATGATTGAATTGGCAGGGGGACGCATACCTCTGTATTTTGTATCCAAGGATACTGTTCATGTGATGCTTGCCAATGTCTCTTAATTGTTCCGGAACGCATGGAGATTTGCTTTTTATTGTTTTAGCCATATCGTATGTAACTCCTAAAAACATTTTTCCGTAACTCCCAAAAATAATTTCCAGTGTGATGGAAAACCTTTCGTGTATGATTCTACCAATGCTTTGTGTGGGATCGAGTATGTAACGGAACCGCTTGCACCCCAACCGGGTACCTTCCGTTGATGGATGCGCCTAGTGCTTCCCAAGGACTCCAAGCACTCTGCCAGACACCATAACCACTGTAGATTCCCACTCTGGACCCAAGACCAGGGTCCAGCTTCCAGTAGGTCGACCTCTCAGAATTCCAGAGAGCAGGAACAGGAACAAGCTCTTAGTAGAGCTTAGTGATTATGCCCTGAGGAGTATGTGATTATAGCAATCCCCAGAGTGTAGTTCTCCAATCCCCCAAACATGAGACAAAACTTCATGAAGGTACAAGATGATCTGTTTAATCAGCACCAAAGGGCTTTACACACAGTTCCCACCCACATGGTCTTGTGGAACAGCCAATCAACAACGTACAATACAGTTAAACACTCCCATTCATTCCAGCAAAATACTCCCCTCTGCGTGTAATATAATTACTGAACACAATGGGCTAACGTAATTATCACAGGCAGGAAAATACACAGTTTTACACAATATTCATAACTTTAAAAGTATACATCTGTTCAAGAATGTGTGCATTTTATGGAGATTGGATGTATATTTTAAAGTTACAATATATGTGTAAAAAAGTATTTTTCCTGCCTGTGATAATTACATTAACCCATTGTGTAATTATATCACAGGCAGAGGGGAGGATTTTGTGAGAATGAATGGGAGTGTATTACTGTATATTACGTATTTTATTGGTTGTTTTACAAAACCCTGTGGGTGGTACTTTGTGTGTAAAACCTGCATAAAAGAAAGCCCTGTGTGCTGATTGAACAGAACTACTTGACCCTTTCTTGAAGCCTTGGCTCATGCTTGGGGGATGGGATAACTACACTCTGGGGGTTGCTATATTCACACTATACTCCCCAGGGTAAGCTCTTGTAAGAGCTGTTCTTGTACCTGCTACGCTCTCTGGGAGAAGAGAGGACTGCACACTGGAAGCTGGATCCTGGCCTTGGATTCAGGGGGGTGAAAGACAGCGAGATCTCAGAGCAGCTGCATCACTGGAAATGGGGTCTGCAGTACTGATGGTGTCGGTTGGAGTGCTTGGAGTCCTCGGCAAGCGCTAGGAGCATCGATTGGCGGAGGTACTCGGTCGGAGTGCCAGCGGTCCGTCACAGGGGTTATGTCAGTATATTTATACTGGCAGACATTTTGTGTTAAGACAGAAATTAAAAGTGTATACTGTAAGTAACCTCCAGAACAGAAGTGACTCCATTTTGTAACAGAATGCCAAGACAGACACATTTTACTTCTCTGTAATTCTATTAATTCAGGTCTGAGCTAAGGAATGTGACTTACATAAACAGATAAAATCTGAGATAAGGCATAATGTCTAACAACATGATGTCTAGCATTCAACCCAGAGACAAATATATATTTTATATATTTTTTATATTATATATATATATATATATATATATATATATATATATATACTGAATATCCACATATAATTTACTATTATTATATTAATCATATATAATTAGTACTATGTTAATAATATAGAATATTCATGGATATAATATCAATTAAGAAATTACATTATTTACTAACGTTAGTGGAACATGTGTAATAGACATAAATAATACAGAAGGGTTGGGCGGGTGGTGGGTTATGTACGGGCGTGTGAGTCAAGTGGTATATGATCCATGGATCCCAGATTTTGTTATGGTTGTGGGTTGTGTCATGAAGTAGGGCTGATAGTTTACCCATTTCCATGGTTTCTTCCGTTTTTCAGAGTACTGCCCCAATGGTGGGTATGTTTTGATTGCCCCATTGTCCAGCTATTGTGCGCCTGGTAGCTAGTGCGATTTTAGCAAGCAGTTTGCTCTGTGATCTAATTAGAGAGGCATGAGGTTTAGAGAGCAGCCATACCCACGGGTCCATGGGGATGTCAGTGTGGAAGAGTCGGGACATTAGGTCGGCCACAGCCTTCCATAGTTGGGCTATGTGGTGACAATCCCACCATGCGTGGATGTAGGTGCCCCGGATTCGCATCCTTCCCAGCAGTGTCTATGGCTGAGCATCTTATCTGACGTAGTCTTAGGGGTGTCAGGTACCATTGGAGGAGCGTTCTGTAGGCTTGCTCCTTGTGATTGACACATATTGTAAGGGACACTGTAGCTTCCCATATCATCCCAGTCTGAGGGGTCTTCAGGGGGGCCGATATCCCTTTCCCATGCCTTTGTGTAGGAGAGTGCGTCTGTTGGGGAAGCAAAGTTCAGTTGGAGATAGAGGATATTTGTCCTTTGTGGATTGGGTTGTGTATACGGTCATGTTCGAATTGGGTCAGTTCGGTGGTAGCCGTGTTGGCGTGTTGGGGGTCCTGGAAGAAGCTTCGGATCTGCAGGTATCTGAATTGGTTGAAGGTGGTCAGTGGGATGTGTTTGGGTAAGTCTGGGAATTGGAGCAGACTTTTGGATCTGAAAAAATTGTGAAATTGTGTGAGTCCGTTATCTTCGAAGTGCGTGAAATCTTGGGGAGTCATTCCTGGGATGAACTGTTTGTTTGTTAAGAGCGGGGTAAGAGGTGATGGTGTGTTGATGAGTGGGATCTTATATGTGACTTTGTTCCATACTAGGAATGAAGTGCATAGGGCTGGGTTCGTGAGTGGGTTGTCGGGTCTGAACGGTTTAGGGAGCCATAGGAGTAGTGAGGGGTGGTTCCCACCCACAAGGTCGTGCTCAAGGTCCACCCATATTTTCAGGCCATGTGGGGCATGTAGTTGCTGTATTTGTGCTAATTGGGCGGCTTGGAATTATAGAAGTTGGGGAGTCCCAGACCTATCATTTTTGTAGTTCTATACATTGTGACCCTCTTTATTCTGGGGTTTTTATTGAACTAGATGAAGTTATCTATTTTAGTTTGGAGTAGTTTGAATTATTTTAGGGATATCGACAGGTAGTGTTTGGAAAAGGTATAGGAATCTGGGGAGCAGGTTCATCTTGATGGAGGCTATCCTCCCCATTCAGGAGATGGGCATGGTGTTCCAGTTCTGGAGGTCTGGGAGTGCTTGTTGGAGTAGGGGGGTGTAGTTCAGGGTATATGTGGAGTCAAGGTTTGCGGGAAGGAGTATACCGAGGTACGGAATGCTAAGCTCTTTATATCTAACGGGTGTGAGTATCAAAGGGTGTTGAGGGTCTGTTCCGGTGTCCTTATTGGGAGGGCTTCGGTTTTGTCAAGGTTTAGTTTGTATCCTGAAACGGTTGCGTATTCTTCCAGGAGTGTTAATAGAGGTGGGATGAATTGGGTCGGGCTAGTGAGCGTCAGGAGAATGTCATCGGCACATGCCGCTATTTTGTATTCGGTTTGTCTTACTTTGAGGCCGCTTATTATTGGTGGGGAGTCTTGTATCTTCTGCAGTGGGGGTTCAAGGGAGAGGGCGAATAAGAGTGGGGAGAGTGGGCATCCCTGTCTTGTACCGTTTCGGATCTGGATTGTTGTGGCTTTTGTGTTGGGTATAAGGAGGTTGGCTGTCAGGTTGTCATAGAGGGTGGTTAGCGCCGTGTTAATCGGGGTGAAGAGGATGGGGTCAGAGAAGGCGATCAAACGCCTTCTCCGCGTCCATGGAGAGGATAAGGGTTCGGATCTTCCTATGTAGTGCCACCCAGATGAGGTTTAGTGTGCGTCTGGTTTGTCTGGTCAGGGTGGATCAATTTTGTGAGGAAAAGTTGTATGCGGTTTGCTAGGAGTTTGGTGAAAACGTTTGTGTCGACGTTGAGGAGAGAGATAGGTCTATAATGTCCCGGTTCAAGATGTGTTTTGTTTGGCTTTTGGAATCAGGCAAATATTTTACCTCAGCATGTCGGTATTTTGTCGCCTTGTAGTAGTGAATTGTATAGCTTGGTGAGGTGCTGTAGGAGTATATCAGAAAGGTTTTGTAATAAAGGCCCGAGAATCCGTCCGGTCCTGGGCATTTGTGTGGTTTGATCAATTTTAATGTGAGTGCTATTTCCTCTGTTGGGGGCTGCGATTTGTGTTCCTGCGGCCTCATTCAGCAAGGGGAGGGGGACTAAAATAAGAGTCTATGGCTCGTTGGTTAGCTGGGTGGATTCGGTTTTGTCTGGCGTCTGGTCTATGGTCGTATAAGTCTGTGAAGTATTTGGAGAAGAGGTTATTCGGTCGGGGGTGTTATAGGTGCTGCCTTTGGGGGAGTTAAGCTTATCATTGGTTTTAGTTCATGTTTTGCCACAAAGTTTGCGAGCTAGGAGGGAATCCGCTTTATTGGATTTGACCTAAAATAATAGTTTAGTCCAAAGAAGTGCTTTATGGGAATCCCTCGTCATGAATGATTTGATGGCTTGTTGATGGGTATTTATTTGGGTTAATTTTTCTGGGGTAGTGTCCTGTTTGTGTTGGGCAGATTTGTGGTTTTCAAGCTCAGTGAGTTTTTGTTTTTTAAGTCTGGTGGCCTGTTCTATTAGTGTTCCTCTGATTACAGCCTTGTGTGCCGCCCAGAGCGTGCCCATAGAGGTTAATGAGTTTGTGTTATCAGTGAAATAGTTTCCTTATGCTGCGTGTGTAGCATTTTTGATGGAAGTTGTGTAGAAGGGTGGGGTTTAGTCTCCATGTCCAGGTCCTAGTCGTGAGGGGGATCTCTATTTCGAGGGAGATA